CAACAAGGGAAGCCACATTGCAAATGGCTCAGCGGGGAATCTCAGGCTGCATGAGCATTAATCTCATCAGTCTCCATCTCTGACAGCCTCCACCAGCATATTCCACTCCAAACCGAAACAAGCAAAACCACATCCAAGAAGCGGCATGGGCACAGAACAGAGCTCGGCGTCTGCTTTGGGGGCATCCGGCAACTGAGATAGACCCTGATGTGGAGAGCGGGGCTGTGGCTTGCAGACCTTTGGCTTTTCCTTCTGCGTAAGAGCCGCTCACTCTGGTGCACGTGGCGTTGTCTCCCCCGCACACCCTGCAGGAGTCCAGCACCATCCCAGAGTCCATCCTGCCGTCACAGCCGAACACCTGAGCAAAGGGTAGAGCCACCAGACCGGCTTAAAGTGGCATTTCCTGTGTTACATTCTTTAAGCTACCTTTCTCTTTGTAACCCCAGTGAGCACGGATACACACGGGCAGAGGAAGCAAGCGCAGATGGTGGTTACACCGTGGCTTTTAGAGTCAGGATTCTTAAATTCTATTCCTCATTTTGCCAGTGACCCCATTGTATGACTCTAGGCGAACCTCTCCTGCAGGAGAGTTAGTTCTGTCCAGGTCTGCCCACTTACCGTAACAACATATATAGCTATGCAAGCTGAATTGATAACAAGGTTATTTCAGTCGCACGCATCAAGGTATAAACTGATTGCTGCACTGGTCAGGAAGGAATTACACACACATGTACAGCACTGTATAATCAGCAGGGTGGACTAGCTGGGGAGGGTTGGTATTGGATGCACAAGCGGGATGCCCAATTAGTTAGTCCAAAAGTCCAAACAGCCATAACAAATCCTGATCTTATAGAAGAGCTCGCCTCAAAAGTTTGGGTCGCAGTTTGCTTGTTCCTCAAGGAGATGGCGCCTTTGAGACCATTTAGATCCCATATCTGAAGCTTGGCCCGGATCCACCATCCACTTGCGGGGAGGAAAATCCTTACCCTGCAGCTGCCCATCACGCACAGATCGAAAGCCGCTTCAGCTCTGCCGTTGTTCTGCTCACACCGGGTTCCATCGGTGAAACTGACCCCACGGCTCACCATGAAATTCTTCTTCTCTGCCTTGCACATGTGTTTGCACAGGGTATCCCCTGGGGTGACAGACATGGGGAGAAAGGCAGAGTTACTCAAGCAAAAAGGCACAAGAGAGTCAATTGCACTATGGGAAGAAGGCAAAAGGAATTGTCAGGAAAGGCTGTAACCACCAGTAAAGCTGCCATTTGATTTGCCATTAAGATCAGGACTCTAGGCTGCACTGGGGGTTCTCTATCCCAAAGGAACCACTGTCTCTCTCTCTCCCTCTTTACCTTTGGCATAAGCCGCAGCCGACGTCCACTTATAAAAAAACGGGACTTCTGGAATGAGATACAGCGGCTTTACATTTGTCGCGGCACACTGGTCAGCCATAAACTCCAACTGGGAGGTCAAACAGGCCTATGGAAGAGGAAGATTATTTAATGCAAGGAAAGTGAAATGGAATATAATAAGAGCAGAATCCCAGGAACCACTTCACCCACTACCTAAGTGCAGCCACCTCTGGGGTGAAAAGCAGCAGCTGACAAATAGAAAAATAGCAAATGAAGAAGACTATCCCATTGAAGTGAAGTTGCAGGAGAATTTGGGGAGGAGGAGATGGTCTAGGAATGGGAGAAAGATGGTTTGCAGATGATGTTATCTTTCCTACTTGTGAACAATACAAGCATGGCCCCTGTTGAGTACAGTCCCGCACTGAAAGGACTCGGGGTATGTACATTGCAGCTAGAGGGGTAATCTTCAGCTCGGGTGGACAGACACACACCAGATTTGATTGAGCTATCGCGCTAAAAGCTGCAGTGTTGCCATGGCGACACAGGCACTGGGACAGGCTGCCCGCCCAAGTACAATCCCGTCCAAGACCCTAGGTCAGTACTCAAGTGGCTAGTGCATGCTGTCACCCGCACCATCATGGCCACTTGCATGCTAGCTCAACCAAAGCCAGCGGCTGTCCATCTACCTGGGCTGGGAATTACCCCTCCCTCGGAGTGCCTGGCTGGCTCTCTGAGGGGTCCCAGATAAGATGCTTTATTAAAGATTGATGGGGCTGGTCCGTTGTTAGTCAGTAATTGGCCTCAGCGACAGTGGAACAAATACCTGTCTTGTCACACAGATGGAGACTGCACGCCCAACGCTTGGTTTCCTTCCCAGGGAAATCAATTGTTTCAACTCTCAAAGCTGTGGCCCTGGATGGTACAGTTCTTAAAGGGTTCAAAGTGGCATATAAACTGACAGTGCATTGCTTGGCCATGTGGGTGATGCCTGCGGAGCTAGAGAAGGCAGCCTACCTGCGTATTGCACATCTCAGCCTGGAGGTCTGCTCCCCTGCACTCCTGACCCCCGAAAGCAGGCCTGAAAACAACAGACATGTGGGTCCGCAGGCAGCCAGGCGGGAGGCTGGAAGAGCTGCCCCACAGCGAGGAAACAGAGGATCCTGATCATCCAAATACACAGGATCTGGGACTGCCCTGCAGCAGCAAGATCTGGCTCGTGGACAGCCACACCGAGCCGGCTAATGAAACGACAGCTACACGGGTCAGTGATGCAGCCAATCAATGGAGCGACGGGGGGCATAGATCAGCATTCATGTCGCACTCCCAGGCCGGGGAAGCTAATGACCCAACCAGCAGACCAAATTCAGTGATGAATCTTGGTCATGTGCCACCAGAGGCACGTTGCGCATATGCTAAGAAGCAGAATGGAGCGACACAGGGATCAAGGCACTGAAAAGACTCATCCGGACAATGACACGCCTGGGCAGTGGAAAGGCAACGAGACCTGAGACTGACACACACTGTCAGTAGAGACACAAGGAACTTGTTACACTGGCAAAAGCTGGGTACAGCGCAGGCCGCCAGCCCACGTTTCAATGAACTCGAACACGTGAAACAAGCGGAAGCACGGACACTTTGGGCCTGCAAACAGCCGGAGGGCCCTGCGAGCACCTCCAATGGCGCTGCCGGGAAAGAGGAAAGTCTTTACCTGGGGTTGTTACAGAGTCGTCTTCTCGTTACAACTCCTCCTCCGCAGCTGCGGGAGCAAGCGGTGAGGGGGCTCCAGCTGGACCACTGCCCATGCACCACTGCCACAGGGGTCAGCTCTTCCAGAGAGCTACAGCGTCCCTTGGAGCACCACTGCAACCCAGAACACCACCGAGATCAGCAACGGCAGTGCCACAACTAATACTGCAGGGAGCTGGAGGGAGTGGGGGGGCTCTGCCCCTTCGGCTGGGAGAAATGCAACTGGAAGGGTCCAGTATCTTGTGCCTCAGTCACTCCCCTGCCTGGGAGGGGAGGGAAATTGGACCCCAAATCGCGAGGGGAGGAGCTGAGCGAGGCATCTTCTCCTGCAGCTCTACCTCCCGTGGGGGACAAACAGTGAAAACATCCTATGCCGATAGCATATTTGATAACGGGCTCTTCAGTCCAGCAGACAGAGGGATAACCCAGTCCAACGGCTGGAAGGTGACACCAGACAAATTCAGACGGGAAAAAAGGTGCAAATTTTTAACAATGAGGTTAATTAACCCTTGGAGCAATTTACCAAGGGTGGTGGTGGATTCTCCATCACTCTTCAGACTTAGCTCTCTACATAGGAAAGCTCATTCATCCCATTGTACCAGCCATCCACTATGCCCTGTAGCCACCCACTCCGCCACCCAACCATCCAATGTGTCCTACAGTCACCCACTGCACCACCCTGCCCCCCCATGTGCCCGGCAGCCACCCACTCCCACCTCCAATCTTCACAGTGCCTGGAGACCCTTTACCTTATTGATCCCACACTCGGTCCCATCCAGAAGGGGAACAAGAAGGCGTGTACAGCTGGTCTGGTCAGCCCGATGGGTGTGGCAAGAGAGAACTCTGCACATGTCCTGGGAGGGCAGGGAAGCCAGGCTGTTCAGTGCGTACCTGAGGCTGTTGTGCCAGTCACTCAACCTGAGCTCCCGCCCCTATCTCACCAACGTAGGACCCCCACACCTCCCAGCCAGAACACTGCAGACCACAGTAGATGGCTTCCCTAGGCCGGGCCATGGCTCTGGGTGTGCTCGGCACTCACAGGATACCAGGGAGCAGTAGGAAGACAAGCATGCCTTACCCACACCCACCCAGCCGCTTCCTTCTAGCAGGAAGCCAGCACCCACTCTCTCCCTCCAAATCCCAAGGGCCTAGGCAATTTCCTGAGCGTCTCCATTTCGAGTGGAAAGAGGTGAGGCCCATGCTGCATGTGGCAGGCATTGTAGGCGCTTCCAGGTACTGGCACTGCCAATCGTTATGGCACAGGACGAGGGTTGGTCGCTGCGGCGGAGGTTTGCAGCCGGATTAGTGTTTCCTTGTTAACGAGACGCATTAACAATGCTGCGCATGGCCTGCAAACAGCAGGGAGCCACACAGTCTTGTACAAGGGAGGGGCCAAAGGGGATCCGGAGAGCAAAGAGATGGAGTAGAACAAGAGAGGGAAGAGGGAGAGCTCCTCACCAACGGCGTCTCTCTCCCTGTGTGTTTGTACAGCACCTAGCGCAGCATGGCCCTGACCAGGTCAGGCTCTGTGGGCACTATTGCAATGCAAATGTTAAATCAGAATGAAGAGGAGACTTGAGTGGAAGAGAGAGAGGAGGGGCAGAAAAAGGGGCAAGTGATCCAAATTTTTTTAAGCCTCTCTCTGCCGAGAGCCCCACAGATGAACATTGCCCCCCCTCAATGCCAGCCCACCGCCCGGCTGCGCCACCACACCCGTCCCAGCTGCAGTACTTTGGGGGTGGCCGTTACCAGCCAGAAGCCCGAGGGGATGGAAAGTATTGTACCTACAATGTCATTCCTGGCAAAGGTGCACGCCGTGGCTGCGCTCCCGAAGGCTATTTTACACTGCTCGTCTGCGCCGTAATATAAGCCAGGCTTCCACCCGGGGATGCTGCCCTCCAGGTCCGGCAGGTCGTTCAAGCAGCTTGCTTGGCCTGTCCTGGGAAAGCCACAAGAGACATCACTTTCCCGCACACAGCCAGCAAGGACACGCACGTACGCTAACACAGGCGCAAGGCCTTCAGTCTGGGAGTTCGTTATCGGTGTCCCGGGAAACGTGAGCATTGTGCTAGGCTCAGAGAGGTCTGCTCTCTTCACCACTTGTTCATTCCGAAAATCAACCAACCCCCCGAGGAGTTACAGCGCCTCATTCTCCGAGAGTCCCCCACCTCGTTCCTTGCCTTTCTCCTCCCCCCAGCGCAGACATGCCGAGGAGCATGGAGAACAGCTGGTTCCTTCTACCTGAGAAAGGCAAGGAACTGCTCTCTGCTGCAGTCCGACCAGACCAGGTCCACACTGTTGCGGTAGCCTTCGGAGCCCATGACGTTGCCACTCCCACTGCACCGGTTTCCTTCGCCATCGTGATGGAGTCCAAAACTGCCACAAGAGATAAAGGGGCGGGAGGCGTTATCGATAATCTCCAGCTGATCTCCTGGTGTTATATTGCAGGAACGGAGCGCAGTTTCAACCCCCGGCTGGGAGGCACCACTCCTGCGTTCTATTCCGGGAGCGCGTGAGTGATCTTGGCTAAGTCACTTCCCTCCTCTGTGCCTTAGTGTCTCCCTTTGTAAAAGGGGGTCAATAGTATTTCCCTGCTACGTGGCAGTGGCGCGAGGCGTAATTCACCGTTCACAAAGTGCTCTCAGACCCTCAGCCCAATGTGGAGAGATGCAACGGGAGGGAAGTGCAAAGTGTTAATTAATATTGACGTTTCCACTGCGTTTTGTTCTAATTCCATCTCCCTCCCTTTCTCCCTAGCGCGCTGCGCTTTCTCCTGAAGAACGCTAGTGCTTACTGGGTATTACTGACATGACATTAGTGCCTCTACGCCCCAGTCAGGATCAGGGCCCCCTGGTGCTTGGCACTGTCCATACACCTAGGAAAAGATGGTCTCTGTGCTGAAGAGTTTACACAGGCTAAGAGGGACGAAGGATTGGGGAAAGGGCGATGAAGAGGCACCATTGTACCTGAGGCGGATGGAAACGTTTGGCTGTGAATGACATGGCTCAAGCAAAACAACGGGCCAAATTCTCCACTGGCGTAAACGAGCACAGGCCGGCTGAGGTCACCAGAGCTGCACAAATTTACACCAGACAAGAATTTGGAGCAGGGATTATAAATCTTAGCTTCTGTTCTGTTGTGTTTTTCTACGTCGCCAGTCTTCCCCTCGTTATCCTCGACCCGCCCATAGGTAACTCGCTGCACGGAGTTCTCGTCACCACGCCCCACCATGCCACCGGAAGTCCCCACCATTCTCTGGACCAAGACCCCACCACGTCGATTAGCAAAGGTGACCTGTGCCCTCTGAGGGGCTGGAATCCACGGAGCCGAGCACGGAGGACGTCCATGCAGAAGAGGATCGGCTCTGTGCACAGTGCTGAGTACCTCCTGAGGCGATGAGTGCCCTCAGCTCCCAGTGAAGACGATGGGAGTGAAGGGAGCTCAGAACCTTGCAGGATTGGGCCCCTCATTCCCATTCCTTCTCTCCAGAGTTGGGTTTCAAGCAACCTGAGCAAGGCTGTCCTTAGGCATACGCAGCATACCTGGCTGCGTAGGGCACCCGAAAATTTTGCGCCAGTGCGGCGCATTCTGCATGAGGGAGAGGGCACGGGGGTCTCGGCAGGGAACTGTGACTCTCCGCCACCGTGAGGAGGGCTGGGCGGCTTGGTATCCTTTGCTGCCTCGTCCTCCCACCCCGGGCTGTGAGCCCAGGCTGCCACAGTGTCTGCTGCATACGAAGCTTGGTGTGTGTCAGCAATGGGGGGGGGGTGTCTTCCGGGGGTCCACAGGTGGGGGTGATGGCTGTGCCCCAAGTTGGGCATAGGGGCGCCAGTTTAATAATACTGTGTAGGGCCCCATAAATCCTAAGGATGGACCTGAACCTGAGGGAACCCCAGCACCGCCTGAGGTGACTTGCTCGCTCCCTGAACTCAGCTTGCAAACAGAGGCCGATTTTCTCTGAGTGAAAGGGCTGACACTTCGTGACTCTCTG